CATATATGTATACAGAGAGATATATGTATTGCAGGTTTCACTTGACCGAGCAGGATTTCGCATTTGTCTCTACATTCGCACAGTTAGCTATATGTAACGCTGCCATTTCGCATTTGTATTTGCATAGATTGCTTGGATCAGCTGCTATATACATATATATATATATATATAGCTATATACTCCACATGTGCAGTTGTCTTTGTAGCAATTTGTTATTTTATCTGAAATGCACAATTAATTTTTATGCGCCTAAAACAATGGCATATTGAAATTTTCATTCAATTTAAGGCATCGCTGCCGCCTGCTCGTCTCTTTTTTAGCTGCTCTGAGCGTCTATAACGGTAAAATTCAACAATTAATTGGCCACGCTCGTTTAATTAAGCGATCACAAGTCTTTATTTATATATATATCATATACATGTGAACAAAAATAAGTGTAGAAAACAACAAAAACACGCAATAAAAGTGTCGATGTCATTGCATTGCGCTGGTTTTTCTTCTTCTTCAATGCATTGTGTAAATTATAGTGCAAAGTATTGTTAGCAGAAATAAATTACTTCAATTACATTTATTATTAACGTTTGCCTATATAGAATAACTGTACATTATAATAAATATATATGTGTTTCTACATATAGTATACTATACATCTTCGTACACGTCTCCACACCTATGAACAATATCTCTATTACACGCTTTTAATTGTTATTTACATCGGAATTTACAAATTTGTATTGTATTTAGTTATTAGACAATTCGAAAAGCGCAATTAGAGCTTTTAATATTATATGCGCTATTTGATTTAGCAGCAGATATCCAATTAGTATACTAGAATGCATACACAATGCATAGTATAAATATTAGGTCATGGGTTTCTGTTGATAAATAATGCGCTGGTGACTACACTAACAAAAACAAAGAAAACATTATTTTAGTCTGCTTTAGAGCCATTATACTCTTCAAAGGTGCATTGCTTAAAGCATAAAAGGGTATAAAACGACTTATATCTTAATTTTKATCGGTAAGTTTGTATGGCAGCTATAAGCTATAGTTGTCCGATCTGAACAATATCTACCGAAATTATAGCGTTGCCTCAGAAAATGATCCGTGCCAAATTTCGTAAAGATAGATTTAGAATTGTAAAAGCTTTTCATACAAGGACTTGATTTTGATCGGTCAATTTGTATGGCAGCTATATGTTATAGTTGTCCGATCTGAACAATATCTACCGCTATTATAGCTTTGCCTTAGACAATAATCCATTGCAAATTTTTTAATAATATCTCTTCATATCAAAAAGTTTTAAAYACAAAAACTTGATCTTGATCAATMACTTTATATGGCAGGTATGAGTTATAGCGCACCGATCAGAACAGTTTATTCGCAGATTGTAGTGTTGATTAGGACAATAACCTACAGCAAAGTTTTTTAAGATGTCTTGTCAACTAAGAAAGTTTCAAATACAAAGACTTGAGTTTGATCGCTCAGTTTGTATGACAGCTATACGCCATAGTAGTCAAATATCGTCGGTACCGCCATATAAGGAGTAACTTAAGGCGAAACAAATATGTATGAAATTTCAGATCGGTACGTCGAAGAGTGAGTGTCTAGTCCCTTTTTATATATGCAAAGGCAGTTAGATGAGCGGACATGTCAAAATCAACTCAGCTCGTCAAGAAATTCTTATATATAATATTTAATAAAATAATAAAAATACTATGCAAGTTAATCAACTAATTTTAGCAAGAAATGGCACCAGTTGACAGTACTATTATGAAAGATAGCCTACCAAGTTATCAATATTTTCTGAATAAAATCAACTAAAGACACGAAGAAGCTCGTAAGCGGTCATCATATAATATTGAACAGTTCAATATATTTTTTGTTTCTGAAATTATTTTTTCATACAGTCAGAACGGAAATATACTTGCATAGAGAACAAATCAATCGATGCGCCTAATTATAGGAAAAAGGAACCTTTAAGAGCTAATATGAGGACTTATAGTTCAACCAGGAAAAAGAGAAGAAGAAGAGCAAAACTGTAAGATAACGGCATGAAATATGAAAAAAGTCAAAACTTACTTAAAAACTTCATTTCTGCTCCGAATAACCAACATTTCTTACTAAACTCAGCCAAAGTTAATATACTTGTTTGAATACAAAGCATTCCCTTTAGACCAAGCCACATGTTGAATGGGTTTAAAAAAATAGCAATGGTTTTCTTTTATTTGCTTATTTTTTTATTCCCACTAATATTCTCTTATCTGTTATGCTCTGTTTAGCAGTATATGTTGCTATGCCCCTAAATGTAGGCAACAGTAGACAGATGATCTCTATTTGGTATAATGCAGATCCAATAAAGAGTGTAACATAATTTTATATCATTTGTTAATATGAACCATATTTTACTATTTCTTTTATTGTTATTTGATACATATTTATAACTCATAAATTTACTTTTTTGTTCTTGATTATCTTTATTATTAGGTTGAAAATGTGAAATGAAATGAAAATGTGAAAATAATAATGTTCATTTAGCTTTGCACTCAATTTAATTTTTTGTAGCGAAAATTACGTTATATTTTTAAATAAATGGATTGGACTTGCTATAATATAAAAGGTATTTATATCAGAACTCGCCTAAACCTTATATAGTATAACTCAAATTTAGAAATTTACATATTTTGGTCTAAAACGAAACTGGTACAAGAACTGGTATAAAAAACTGATATAAAGACTGGTATAAAAATTGGTATAAAACTGGTATAAAAATTTGTATAAACTGGTATGAAACTGACATCAAACTTGTATAAAAGCAGATGTAAAACTGGTATAAAATTTATATAAAACTGTTTTCAAACTGATTATAAACTGGTTTAAAACTGGCTTAACACTGATAAAAAGTGGTATAAAATCTGGTCTGAAACTAATACAAAACTGGTATAAACTGGTTTAAACTTTTCTAACTTATGTCTCAACGTAATATTTATTTTCGTTAACAAGAATTTGTATAACTATAAGGTCGTATTTTACTTCTGGTGATGGACGATGTGCTGATGACAAGGAAATGCAAAAAGCAGTTAAAAAATGGACGTCGACGGCACCGAAGCTATAATACACTTTACGCATCTCATATGATAAAAACACATGTATCTTGATTTCAATTTAAATCTAAATTGGTCTAAAATCAGAATGGTCGAAACTTGTTTAACAAATTCCATATTACATAATTGCCAAAATATTATTTTTTAATCCTCTATTTTTAATCTTCTGCTTCTTCTCAAACCGCTAAATGTTTAATAGTCCTAGGAAACACTGTACATTTACGGCGATAATTTGCCATAAAGCCCACAATTAAAAAATTCAAAATGTTCCCTTTATAGTACTTCAATTACTAATTGCCATATTTTGGCAATTCTTCAAACCGATCTTAATTAAGATTGCGAATATTTCAACAAATTGAAATCTCAAGCAATTTATCGCCACTTGCAAGCACTAATCTCACACCACAGAGCGTGCAAAGGATGTAGAAATGCAAAGCACTACACACACACAGACATATACATATATAGGCATATGTGTAACGGCGCACCACATTGACCATTGACATTTGCAATTTACGATTTAAGAGAAAAACATGGAGAATGCGGTCAAGCTGGCCTACTATACTCTAGTGAATGCCGGCTGGCTCGTAATTTTAATTTCCGAAAATCAACGTAGCAAAAACAGAGAGCAAGCGACGACAATCGATGCTGTCAACCAGAGCACAATCACAATTTAAATGCCACAGTATTTGTGGAAGTGCGTGTGCGGCTGACTGTATGTGTGTGATTGTGAGAACTTTTGGCCTTTTGGTGAAACGGAAGGGATATGTGAGCGCCTTGTGCGTGCATGTGTGTGTATTTGTGTCAAGCAGCGCATAAGTCACAAGAAAATCTGAGCAAAAGTAAGATGAATGCTTTGACAGTTGTTGCCCGGGCAGCTGGCACAGGATGTAAGGCGGTAAAACGGCAGACTACAGCAGGATGCGCAGAGATTTGTATGTGTGTGTGTGTGTGTGTGTGTGTGCTAGCGGCAAAAGACTGCCCGCAGTCGACATTTATGCTGGCTGGCGGTATTGTTTTGCTGCTGCCTGCATTTGCTGCAGCTTCCTTATGGCACTGCTCTGCGCCGGGCATAAGAAATGACAGGCAATTTGTTTGTACCAGATCCAAAGTAATGCCTACCAAACCTGAGTGGCGAACAAACAGATAAATAAATAGGCCAGAAAAATGTGTGACAAAAAGCTAGGAGCTGGCTGTGAACGGAAATCATCTTCCGTAGGCAGTAGAAGCCAATTGTAAATTGCACGAAGTAAGCCTTCCGTGTTTATGCGGGTATAGAGGTACTAGGGTGGTACTGAAATGATTGTGTAGAAAAAGCAGTCAATTCACAATTTTTTTTTTTTTTAGTAAGTTTTGGTCCACATACAAGTCGTTAAGCTGAGAAAAACTCAAATATTTTACTCTAACTAACAGTAAAAATATTTTTGTGACCAAAATAACTAAATATATAAAATAAAAAATATAAAATAAAACAGATTAGCTAAAACTTTAACTGGCTGAACCATACTGTACTGCGTTCTAAATCTCTTTACATAGTTAAATATTTTTATTCGACAATATTCTCTTTATATATTATCAGCAATTGCGGCGTTGGCAAAAATCAGAAATTCAGTTTTTCACTACCACCCTAATACTATTATACAGTCCAAAAATACTCATATTTTTTCGTAGCTGTGAATTACATGCTAGCAACAGTGGGAAAATTGCACAAAAAGTTACGCATCTCGTAAGAGACAGATAAATGCACGCTGAGAAGGCAACAGTAAGCTGGTGAGAGAATGCCAAAGTAATATCTAAAAATAAATTGTATGTCACCCTGTGTTATATTACTGCCGAATTTATTTCAACACCATATATATTGTAATTGTTGTTGCTTTGCATGTGTTTGATACTTACATCTTATGTCCAAATGCACAGGGTTGCTCTCACCATCACCTTCCCGATTACTGCCGACACAAGTGTAGATGCCCGCGCGGGCGCGACTCACATTCTGAAGCACCAAGCTCTGATTGGCCACTATGATGCCCTCGGCTAAATTATTCTCGAGAATATTGCCCTGAAAGAGAGAGTGGGAAAGATAAAGAAATATAATTTTTTTTTTTACTTAGAAAGTACGAAAATGTTTAAATAAAAAGAAATTGCAGGCGTGTCTTCCATATAACACAGCATGATCAGCCTGGTTGGAGGATTTTCGATGCGTAACCAGCCAGGTAGTTTGGTGAATTTTCTTATGATGGAATTGAGTACTATAGATAACCATATTTCGGGCCCTGGCGAAGTCTGGTCYGGTGGAGACCGACCGTTCTGGCAACCATACCTTCTTTGCCCAAACTGGCATTATAGTCGCCAAGCACGAACATTTTAATGCTGATTGTGACTAGACGTGTGTCTACCGGGGTGAATGCCTGAACTCGGCGACGGAATCTCTCTCCCACAACGAATCCCACAACAAATTTGCGCTTCTTTATCTAGCCACTGTAATAAATGCCACAAGGACTTACACGCCTCAGTTCTCATCCCTTCTATCGCATTTCTTGAACGGCGGTAAAGTCAGCCTTTACTGTAAGGAGGAGATCAACAACTTGAGCTGCGGCACCTTCCCAATTAAGGGTCCGGACATTGCAGGTGCATGCCCTTAAATCGTCGTTCTCAAAAGAGGGGTCCTCATCCGAGGCTGGTTTCCTTTTTTTTTTTATTAGGGGTGTTTTTACCCAGTACACAACCCTGGGTAGGGATGTACCACTTTAGCTTGCCTTCAAACGGATGGTGTTGGGAGGTCCTAACCTCAAAATAGTTTCGAAAAATTTAAATTACTTTAAAATCTTGTCTGGGAAGAATTCCGAGGTTCTATGTTTAAAATATTGGGCATGAAATTTCGGAAATTTTCGCTTGAAAAGACGCTTAAATGACCTTATATCTAAGGCTTTGCTTCCGTTAAGTCACATGAAGCTCGCAAGCAATTGAGCCATTGATATTAGCTTATGTAGAATTCGAGCACGAAGAGAGCAAAATATTAAACGGAAAATATTCTTAAGAAATTTATAAAGGCATACTCATATTAGATGCCGACAAAAGTGAGCAGCTTAAGTCAACAGTACCAAGAACCAAGTGCCGAGTGCCGGGTGCCGAAAAGGTGACACAAAAAAGTGGCAAATGAAATATGCAAACAACAAAGTAAAAAAGAAATTTCAAAAAGAAATAATGAGAAATTTTTGCCGGCGGCTAAGCATCAGCCAACTTATGAGCAACTTGCAGGAGTTTCACTAAAGAGCATACACACATACACACACGCATGCACATCGCATGTACGAGCTCGTGTATGTTGCTTGTCCTCCACCAGCATGGCACTTTGTGCTGCTACAAGCATGCGTATGTGCATGTATGTGTGTGCGCCAGCATATACGTGAGACCTTTTGAAACTTTGCTAATGCTTAAGGCTGATTTATATGTAAATAATAATTTTCAATTAGGTTTAAAGAGCAAACGTTTGCTTCCTGACGAAAAATGAAAATGCTCTCAGCTATTTTGCTGGGCTCTTGCGCTACGAAAAGTGAAACAGATTGAAAAGCACGAGTAAACAGAAATGTATAGTGTGCCTCGCAATAATATAAACATAAGGCTTTCTATGCGCTTAATGTGGGCAGCTGTGTGCGGGCGCATTAGGGTGGTGCGTAAATGGCGGAAGAAATTTTTACGGCGAAAATAATAAATTTCATTGCGCCTGGGGTTGATATGTAGTACTTTTGAACATAGTTCTTATTGGTAAGCCGGTTGAAGCAGTCAAAGTATAGAGAAAAGATGAGAAAATAGTTCATAAAACAGTTTTCTATAGAAACTCTAAAAATGGTGCCATTTTTTTATTTGATATGTCATGGCCTCAAGGGTGGTAAATATCAACCGTTCTCTTAACTTTCAGATCTAGTTAGCTCAAATGAATCTGAATTGTTTTTGGGTACATCAACAATATAAATTAGCATACTCTAAGCAACATTTTGAATTTTTTTTTACTACAATAGTAGCAACAACAAATACAATAGCACCAAAATGTACATAACCTTTTATCATAAACATATCACATTTTATCATAAACCGGCCAGAAACGTCAGAAATTTAAAAACCTGAAATTTTAATACATTCAAGGAACGCCCTAATGCGCAAATTTTATATTAAAATAACGAGGTAAAAATGTAAGTAACTTTTTATTCTCAATTGCTTATGAATTCTTAAACTATAACATAATTTTTTTCCTTTTAACGACCACCCTAGTATAAAAATATTTACAATTTTGTCATTTTCTAACATAAAAATATAGATACATATTCTTTTATCATCAGTTTTGCTATTAGTATTTTCATACTACCTTTTAGCTCTTTAATTTTTAAAATTTTTTTTTTTTTAACTAACCTCAAACACAAATATTTGCGTTTTTTTCATGTCCAATTTCAAAATGTTCAAATTTAAGTTTGAAATATAGTTTTTTTTTAATGCTACCCTAATGTACATATTTTTAATTTACAACACAAGCCTATTTCTTCCTTCTCAATTTATACTTTTATCCTCAATCTCATACGAATTTTTTAGCGTTAAAATTTTTTTTAGTGCCACCCCAATACAAAAACTTTTACATTTTCAATTTTCAACATCAAAGTGTACATATATACGCTTTACCATCAATTTTTTAAGTTGTAAAAATATATTTTTAATGTCCAAATATTCTGGTAATACCACCCTAATACTCACATTTTTAATCTACAACAGAAACCTATTTCTTGCTTGTTTATTTATACTTTTATTGTGAATCATATTTGAATTTTTTAATGATAAAATTTTTTAAGTGTCACCCTAATACACAAAATTTTTCATTTTTCATTTTTCAAATTAAAGTTGTACATATCCTTGCATCAAATATTATAAATTTGAAAATAATTTTTTAGCACCWCCCTAATGCACGACTATTTGCATTTTTCATTTTTCAACAGCATATTATTGCTTGCTTATTTATATGCATGGTGGTGTACTTGAGCGGGGGCTTGCGTGTGTGTGTGCACAGTTATTTACATACTCCTGCAAGCAACTTGTAGCCACTAAGGCATGTCATATGCGATTATTATGCATACATATGAGTTATATAAATTAAATTGTCAACGTTGAAGGCATGGAAAATGAAAAATCCATCATCATCAACAACAGCACCGCAAGACATATGCGATTATAATTTTCTTTTCACACACACACATAACATATGTAAAATAAAAAACTATGTAAAAAGTCATAAGTAGATATTGGAAATGGCAATATGAGCACCGCTGCGCATACTTACATTGTGGCGCCAACTGACTTTGTAGACCCAAGGATTCGATTTGATGTTGCACTCGAAGAAAACATCGATGCCTTCGCGAAAGGTTGAGTTTAACGAGTTGGTGCCGAGCTCCAGGCTCACAACGGGTATGTCTGYGTGGAGAAAATGAAATTTATTTAATATATGTATGTCTATATATATATATATATTAACATACATTGGTACAGTATTGCTTAAAATATTAGCAGCTATTAATTTTCAGGCATTCAGCTGAGCTTCTTTCACACGCGACTCTTTTAATTAGACAATATTTCGCAATATTGTACACATTCGCCACAAAAGCATATACTCTCAAGCCCACTTACTCTCTAACTGCCTCTTTTATTCCCTCTCTTTCACTCTCTATAACGCTCGCTTTCATTACTTACTTCATGCACCTGCCTTAATTGGCTCTGTTTTGGTTGTGTTGTTAGTCTGTTTGCCTCGTCTCTGCGCGCAGTTGAACTGTAATTAATTTATTTGGCATCTGATTGCATTTTAACCTTTTCCTGCTTACACGCTATRTTTATTTATTTATTCCCTGCAATATTTATGTGGTGTGTGTAAAGTGTATGTGCTTCCTGCTTCGCACTTTCGACTTCCTTTGCTGTGAATTAATGCTGTTCATATTTTTATTTTGCGCGTTTACAGTTAAGTAAACCGGCAGCTGCTGCGGGAGTATACACGAGTTTTACGCACGAAACTAAAGTTTAGTACCCTGAAGGAATTAATCAGAATTTTTCCGAAATTCGAAAATTACCGGCATTCGTTGTAATGAAAGCAGAGTGTGCTGCATTATTTTRAAAACAAACTTTTRAAAACACATATTCMAAAACTTTCGAAATTTTGTTCGAAAACCCGTTTTTTAACTCAACCCRAAATTYGAAAATCACCGGCATTTTTGATGATGGTGTGTTGCATATATTTTGAAAATAAACTTTCGAAAGCACATATTCAAAAACTTTCGAAATTTTGTTCGAAAACCCGTTTTTTAACTCAACCCGAAATTCGAAATTCACCGGCATTTTTTGTGATGAAAGAAGGGTGTGTTGCATATATTTTCAAAATAAACTTTGGAAAAGTTTTTCGAAAATCCGTTTTTTAACTCAACTCGAAATTCGAAACTCACCAGCATTTTTCGCGATGAGAGAAGAGTGTGTTGCAATTAGTTTGAAAATGAACTTTCGAAAACAGATATTCAAAAACTTTAAAAATTTTTTCCGAAAGCCGGATATTTAAGGAAGTGTTTTTTGCGTTAATTTTCGAACTTTTATATCAAAATTGTCTGAAGAATTCTGATATTGCTGAAAACATAAAAAAATTAAAATCTTTCGAATTTTTTTTCGAAACCCCGTTAAAAATAAACCTATTTTGAATTGATATAAAAATAAATGGTACAAAGATTTCTGACAAATTTCCAAACATTCGAAAAGCTARAAAACTTCKGAACAACACTTATTCGAAAACSYGTTTTTACAACAGTAGGTACTTAAAAATTAATAATACATATCAAAATAATATATTTTTTATATAGTTTTCAACCATAAGAAAAAATTAAAGTAACAAAAAAATATTCGAATATTTGTTCGAAATAAGTAGTGACACTTTTCCTTAACTTTCGAACATTTAATTCAAAATAGTTTAAAAAATTCTGATAATTCGCCTATTGCAAAATATAAAAATATTCAAAATATAGCGTTTCTAAAACAGCGTTATTTTTACATTTATTTTCGAACATCAAYACTTTTCAAAAATATATTATAAAAAATTTTGGTCTTTCACAAAATGAAGAAATGTTCAAAAAATTTTAAACATTTTGTTGAAAATGGGATTTTAAAACAAGCGATACTTAAGCGCTAATATCAAAATAATGTAAAGATATTTCTCTCCCCTAATTATCAAATTTAAGAAGAAAAAAACCAAAAGAAAATATACGAAAATTTGTTCGACAAGTGTTTCTTTAGAGAGTAGTGATACTTTTACTTTCGAACATATTATATATTTCAAAATAGTATAAAAACTCTGATAATTCTCCAGTTATAAACAAAAAAATATTCAAAAACTTTCGAATATTTTTCGAAAACGAGTTTATAAAACAGCGTTATTTTTGCATTTATTCTCGAACATTAATTACAAAATAGAAGATAAAAAATTTCGGATAGTTCTCAAAACTGAGAAATAAATAAAAAGTAAATTCTAATATTTTCGAGTTTTTTTTCGCAAACGTCTTTTTAAAGAAGCGAATTTTTGTAATAATTTTCGAAAAAAGTATTGGCAGGAATTATATTAATTTTCAAAATGAAGAACATATTAAAAACATTTCAAACATTTTTGCGAAAACAGCTCTGTTTTAAAAACGTATTTTTAAATTTATGTATTTTCGAAAATTATTGACAAGATACATGATACATGTCGAAATGAGCAAAATAAATAAAAAATAAATTCTAAAACTTTCTTTTTTTCGAAAATGTTTTATTAAAGTTTTACTAGAAATCATTTAAATTTTTCCTACAGGGCACTGACTTTTATTCACAGCGCACGGTACATACTCTCACTAAACCGCATCTACAGACTTACACTGAAGTATGTATTTGTAAATGTTGAAATAAATATGTATTTATGCTTATTTGGAGTATTTTAAGAACCATTAAACTGACATACACTCACGCACCTACATATATAGTAGATATATGTGTAAGAGTGGTTGTGTGCCCAAAAACATATATGTCGGCTCATTAAAAACCACCTGGTTGCGCCATGGCATAAATTCTTATTTGAAGTAACGCCACATATCTACATCTTAATTAAACTCCTTTTGTAGTRACTCTTGTTGTTCCAGGCATAACGGAACATCTGTTATTTAATAACCAAATTCACAGCTTACACGTGTCTGTATGTAGTTGTGCATATGGCAATCAGTTTTACGGTGTAATTAAGAGGAAAATTGTTTAAATCTCTTYAATTATATTCGAAGTTGTTGGTGTGCGGTTGCTCATTTCGTGCAATGGTGCTTTTTAGTTGAGGTGTAGTTGAGGCAGAGTAGTGCCAGTGCCGTTTTGGTATTTAGCAAGGTATAATACTTGATATAGATAATAAATTTGGTTCGTTGGAATGCCAAGATTGGATTAGAGTGTGAATATGTGGATTTATTATTAAAAATCTTTTACCTTCCGACCTATTTAGTTCAGAGCCCTAGATTAGCTTGAAAGATCAGATAAAAAAT